ATTGCTTTTCAACGATCGGCGGCTCCGCAGAGTCCGGGTTCTCCGCATCGACTTTCGAGGTAGGGAAACTGAAAGCGGACAGGGTACGCTTGGTTTTCGCCTCAATCGGCACGACAATGTGCGCGAAAGACGCTTTTCCAGCGTAACGACTACGCTCCTGTCGGAGACGCTCCTCTTTGGGGGTCCTGCGTTGTTTGGCCTTCCCTTTGGCACTGTCTTCTTTATGCTTCGCCGGCGCTTTGGACTCAGTGGCGCCTCTAATCTCGGCGAGATCCTCAAGAGTTTCTTTGAAGTAGACAGAGAGATCAGGCCTAATGCCCTGATGGACGTGTATATCTTCACGGTCTCGTAGGGCTTCCTTGGATGAAGTGTCTAGGGTTCTGAGTGATCCGGTACCTTCAGACTCGGTAGCGGCCAGTTCCATAACGTGCGCGGAGATCTGGGCCTAGGGAATTTCGGATAAGCGAGTGGATATACAGGAATAGAGGATGCCACGTACGATCTGCAGCTGGAACCACCATTCGTACACGCTCCAGGGAGAATCCTTGATGTAGCTGAACTTGGGTAGGATCTTCTCCGCAGATTCGGTAAGCTTGGATCCGCCCATGAATTTGTCAAAAACGTATTCCAGTGACTTTTCTGTGCAGTATTTGTACAGCGGCTGGAACTCATGGTACGCCTTGTGCATGCTGTATCCTCCTTGATCTGCGGGCTTGAGAGGGACTGACATCGCAGTTTCGTCGATATTGTTTGCGCCGCGCGGTCACTGAGGGATTCTTGTCGAAGCCAGTGGCTTGGGTCTCTACGGGGGATCCTGCGGGGGTGTGAGGACCATGGGTTTCGGTCGATTCAGAGGGAAGGAATGCTGGTGGAGCGGCCATTGGGAGTGCGGTAGATGAAGGACTTACGGGCGACGACAAGATGCGTCTCTGCGAGAGGGCTTATATAGCCTCGAACGCACCCAGTACTTGATTTAGATGCAGATACAAAACGGATCGAGAGTGTCTCGAGGATAGAATAGAGACGGGGTGTACACAGAGGTCGCGGTAAGAGGCAAGAGTTGTTCGATATCATTTCCCAAGGCGGGCGTCGACGCTGGGCGCCTGTTCGGATGCGGCGAGTCGCGGTGGTCAGACCCAGTGAGGACTTACAGGTTTTAGAGGGTTTCAGGCGGTTTTGTTTGGGCGAAACCGCCTGAACCCCAGAGAAACCTCATGAAACCGTCATATCGGGGTATGAAACTGTTCACAAGGTTTCGTACGGTTTCGCCCAAACGAAACCGCTTGAAACCCTCCGAAACCTGTAAGTTCTGACTGGGGGTCAGAATTGCATACACGTATTCCCTGTACTCGCGCCAACACAACACAACAAGGGCGTGTTTCCGAATGCGGACTAGAAGGCTACAAGTGCACAAGGCCGCTGCCTTTAGGGCGTAAACCTTGTAACTTTTTGCCTTCGCTGCTTCTCGAACAACTGGTGTTGGCTTCAAATCCGATCTCAATTAGATGAAGCGGCACACGTTGTCGCATGAGGACAAGAGGATAGACTGGATTGGTATAGTAGCAGTGAATACATCGAATTGCGAAGCGCATGTGGGCGACGCGCGAGAGGGCCGCGACGCGGCGGAGGCGGAGGCGGGCGACGTGGAGGCGGAAGATGACGTGGAGGGCGGGGCGACGCCGAAGACGAGGAGGGCGAAGTGGGGGGCTGGGACGCGGCGGAGGCGAAGGGCGACGCGGAGGAGGGGTTAGAGGGCCGGCACGACGCGGAGGAAGTGGGCGACGCGCAGGGCTGCGATGCGAGCGGAGGGGGGCGACGCAGAGCTGAGGTGGTGGTGGGACGACGTGGGCGCAGGTGACACCGTGGAGGCGGAGGTGGGCGAGGAGGTGGGCGAGGGCGGAAGTGGGCGACCCGGGGGAGGAGGGCGAAGAGGGGAGGTGGGCGCGGGCGGAGGTGGGCACGGGCGGAGGTGGGCGCAGGCGGAGGTGGGCGCAGGCGGGGGTGGGCGATGCGGAAGGTGAACCGGTGAACCGGGCGGAGGGCGACGCAGAGGCGGAGGACGGCGAGGCGGAGGTTGCGGAGGGCGAGGTGAAGGACGTCCGAGTGGAGTGTCACGTCCTCCGCATGTCGTAGACAGGCCGGCAGGCCGGATGGGTGAGGCCTCCCAGTGAGGGTCCCTCCCGTCTACATACGTCTACATACCGTGTCCCGGCGCCACTCACATATGTAGACGTATCTAGACATCCAGGACGGTCGGAGGACGTATTCTAATTCCGTCTAGAAACGTCTGTTTAGCTCTAGACGCATTAAATCCGTCCGTATGCGTCTCTATACGTCTGTATATGTTTGATTATGTGTTTGGTACTGTACACGGGAAGCTCCCCACGGCCATCGGCCCGTTCCACCCGCGCTCGCCCCCCGTCGCCTTGCGCCCCGTCGTCCACTCCCCTCTTGCGCCTCGCACGCTGCGCCCCGTGCCCCGCGCCCCCGTCGTCCAAGCCCCGCTCAGCGTCGTCCACACTCTGGGGCCTGCACCGCGACGCTCGTCGCCAACCCAGCTCACTGCCTGCGCACGCACCTGCTCTTCGCCACCGCGCGTGCCAGTCGTTCGCCTACACTCACCCTTACCCACTGTGTATGCAGTCTTCCCAAGCGAGCCCGTGCGTATATACCTGGCTGTTGTCCCAATGGGTATGAGATTGATTGGCGAGAACAATGAGGCAACACACCGAGGAGACATCTGCGACGCCCTGTAACGTCCTTGCTCTCGCTAATCACGCCGCTCTGGCTGAAGAGCAATCTAGTTGCAGAGGGGAGGTCGTTGATCGTGAGTGGCCTGAATGCACAATCAGCTACGATCGCCTTGCCTATGCCACCGTGCTGCGGACGCACCTGGGAATGCCCTTGGGGTCGACGATGAAGAACCCGCGCCCCGTGGACGCCGCTGGAGGGCAATGCCCCCAGCCTCGATGAGGACGCCGAGCCGCGCCGCGCACCACGCGCGAGATGGATATGTTGCGGTCCGCGATGAACGGGAGCTTGAGGTCCGGGCCTAGACTGCCCTGCGTGCGTGGGGATGTCGCCCAGGCAAAGCGCGAGTGCTGCGAGTTGGTCGAGGCCGCTGTGGACGTGGCGGGGCTAGCATGAGCGGCTACGGAACCGGACTCGGTGGAAGGGGAGGGGGACGGAGTGAGAGGTGAGAAGAATGGACCAAGGAGGACGACGGTGTTGGTGGTACGGGGACGCAATCCATATAAAAATCCGTTAGCGACAGCGACACGCGCCACACAGACAGAGGGACACGACACACCACTGGCCAAGGTAGTCGGAGAGGACGACCTCTTGGAGAAGCCGTCGACGACGGCACTCGCCTTGAACGCGGGCACGGGCTTCTACAGAGTGGCGACCATTGTTGCGTGTGGTTCGCAGGAGAGGGAAATATGCACCGTGGATGGCAGAAGGGTGTGAACGATGGCATTCGTCAAGGAATTGTGGGTATATGCGCACCTTCAACCACCTAGCTTGCATTCTGAACGACAAAAAACATACCGGTGCTCCTTCTGGCAAGACGACCAGGGTGGTGTGCTACGCACTCTCTTGCACGCCTCCAAGACGAAATCCACGTCGCGCATGTCAACACAGAAGGGGGTGCAAAGCTACGTTCTTAGATAGCAGAGGATGGAATAGACGAACGGGAGAGGGAGAGGTGGAGTTGGTGGAGGAGGAGGAGGAGGAGGAGGAGGAGGTTGGTGACTTCAGCCCCTCCACAG